TTTTGAAGGGAGGTTATTTAACTTGTTCTTTGCTGCTACTGATTAGGCTTGGAATCCTGCTGCAGAAGACCAGTGTTTTGACAGATGTCACAGGTTGGGTCAGAAGCATAATGTTGTTATTACAAAGGTGAGTTGAGAAATGATCTATTTGAAGAGTTTCCTGGTTCTGAATAAGTAAATTATTTTCCAAATAGCTTTACTGTATTTTTAAAAGAATTGCAACAACATATGTCTCGCCAGCAAACTTAAATTGTAGGGTGATTTTTGAAGTGTGGGGTTTCAGTTGTAAGACTTTTGTTAAATGTAACCTATTTCCCATGAAATAATAGTTTTAGAAATTAGAAGTCCCTACTGAGCTTTTTGGAGTGATGGGGTAGTATTGCTGTAGCCAAGCCCAGCTATTATAGTTTATTCTTTTGAAAGCATGTAAAACACTTCTGCTTTTGTCACAGCAGTTTGTTTAGCAGCAGAGGGACATTACTAGGGAATTGAAGACAAGCTTGCTTCTATTATAAGTAGCAAAGAAGACATATTCTTCCAATAAGTATTTAAAAAATGAAAAAAGGCAAAATAATTTAAAATGCCAAGCCTTTTCCTCCATCTGCTTTATAACCCTTCCCTCTCGTGTTTTCTTTAAAAGTAATAACAAAATAGTGTAACCGTGCTATAAGGTACTCAGCTTTTTAACCTTTCCCCCCCAGAGTACCTAAATTTCTCATCCTAAACTTTAATTAAAATAAGAAATCCCTTCATTTCAGTTGGGCTTTTTTTTCCCCCCTGACAGTTCATTGTGAAGGATTCAGTGGAAGAAAATATGCTGAAAATTCAGAACAAGAAGAGGAAACTTGCAGCAGGAGCCTTTGCTACTAAAAAGCCTTCAGCAAGTGAAGCAAAACAAACCAAAATTAATGAAATTAAGGCTCTAATTGATTTATAGCTTGAAACTGTGGTATTTTATGTAAATAACTTTTAATATTTTAGTTAATATTGCTCTTCAAGTTACATGTGTTATGCTTTTAGTTTCGCTGTCTTTATGGTCAGAACATAAATGCCTCAAATTAATTAGACCAATTTGCTCCTAAATGTTAATGTAGAAATGCACAAACTTGATTTGCACTCCTGAAGTCCTTCCAGCATTAATTTCTTCAAAAAGTTGCTCATTATGTACAATGCTTAAGACTATATTAAAAATCCCTCAAAATAGAAGTGCATATTCATGCATTCTACCTTGCAAGAACTTTCTTTTTAGAGGTGAGAAGATAACAAAAGGTACAAAATGTGTTGTCCTTCAGACAAAACCCTTAAGAAATTAATTTAGCTTTATGTTTTGATCTCAATGTTACTGATAAGGAAACAGATCATCTGGATTGTTTGGTGTTTTTTTTTTCCAGAATAGGTGGTCAGTGATCACTTCATAAGGAATTGTTACTTTTGCAGACAATGTTCAAAGATGGTATTCAATCCAAAGTCTTAAAATATTTTTTTACTGTTTCTGAATAATACACAGGTGCAGCAGGGAGTTCCTCTGTTGATGATTTCCTGTGAGCTAGTAAAAATGAAGTACTTAAATTTGTAAAACACTTTCTTTTAATATTTTGCTTCCTTTAAACAGAATCCCATTGAGTTTTTCTAAAAGTAAAGGTTTTGTGATTTGGATAAAATGCTAGAATCATAGGCTTGTATTGATAACATGCTTTCCAATACTTTCTGTACACACTTTGAACAGTATGACTGTGCTACGTGCAAAGTAGAATATGAGCCACTTGTCACTCTGTCCCTTGCAAAATAACTGAAACAAACCAAATTATTTTAATAGCTGCCAGCTTTCTAACAGTCATCTTGCACTGCTAAGTGCTTTTCCAGTCCATGTGTGTTGTAATGGAATGATGATCTGAATGCAATTCTATGATTCTATGATTTATAGAGTAACAATTTGGTAAACTACTTGTATTCATATACAGCAAAGTAATAAACAGCACTGAGGAATCTCAGTTCAATACTAGGTGAATATTCTTGTCTGTTGCTTCTATCTCTTTCCCTTTGGTCCTGGTGTCTTCTGTTATGTATTTTCTTAATACTATGCTGCCTTCCCTGTTACACTCAAAACAGGAGGCAGAAATTACTATGTTTAGGTCCTGTTTAGATTCTATGTTTAGATTCAGGAAGTGCATTTGGCACCAAAGAAATGGAATCTGATTTGATTCTAATGCCTCTCATCGTTTCTTATGTCTTAAAATATCAGCCAGCTGATTATAAAATGAATTGCAATCACAGGACTAAGAAATAAAGGGAGAATGTCTGATATCTGGAGAAACAGTGAGCCAAGGGAAGGAGTGAGAAAGGAATTCAAAATAGGTAATCTCTCAAGCTGATGCAGCTCTTGGGGAGCCAGCATCTTAGCTATGGAGAAAGTCTGTTAGGAATTAAAGAGACATGAATGATAGAAGAAAGTGTGAACCCCAGTAACTGGTTGTCACTGGAAAGTTGACAAAAGAATAAGGAAACAGAGCTACACCTGATTGAAGTGTTGGGCTTTTGTTTTGGGGTGGGTTTGGGGTTTTTTAGGTTGGTTTTTTTTTTTTTTCCCCTCACAGACTTTATGTAAATTAAATTTCCTATGGGTTTTTGTGGTTCAGGTTCTGAAATATGCTGGAGAAATAATTCCTGATTACGCATGAGAGATTTGGCTGTGAGTGTCATTCTTTCTATTTTCCAAGTTAAAATTCCATGAGGAATAGACCCATTTGAAGGGCTAGCCAAGCTACATCATTACTTGTGTTAAAATACGCTGACATTGTGCAGGGTGGCTGAGTTATGATTATGAAAACAATTACTAGTATCATTTTTCCTCCCTAGATGATGATTTCCATGTTCCAAAGCCAAAAAAACACTTACTGGAGTTAGTGCTAAGCTGTATGGCTAGTTAAGGTCTCTCCCAAAAAAGCCATTAATGTATCCAAGGGAACAGTTAAAGGTCAAAGTACTGTCTCATTTGATGGAGCTGTTCAGTTTACGGGTTGTTAAAAACCATGGCGGTGTGGCTGTTTTCCATGATCTGTAAGTAGTCTTTGGCTATTGGTATGTTCTAGAAATGAGCTTTGGAATTACAAACTTAACATTTTTAATTCCAAAGACTGAGTTAATAGTCTATCATTCTGAGTTTTATTTACCCCCTGCATAAAATACAGATGTAAATGAAAGCAGTATGCTTCTATACTAAGAGCAAGAAATGCTTCTAATTGCTCAAATGCTTCTAAACTAAGAGTTGCTCTGAGTTGTCACCATCTAAGGAACACCTTAGATTATATGCTTTTTAAAGGCAAGTGCAGTTCCAATACTTAAATTGCAATCTAAGCAGGGCTATAACTCTTTTGAATAATGTCTTCAGTATAGTGCTTTAATAAAGTTACTGCTTTGAGTAACTACAGTTTACAGCAGAAAATTGATGTATCAGGTGATACTACTCCAAGGGATAAAAAGGGATCTCAACTTTTCTGCAAGTGCTGCCTGCAGTAGTTACAAAGGAAATAGTGGCAGATAATGACATAAAGGTCATTTTATTGAAAATAAGCTGCATAGAGTTTGGTATAGATGTCGTACCTTTTGATTTCCTGAGTCTGTGGGTAAACACTTGATCATAGTATGAGTCACAGAGGCTAGGACAGAATGGTTTTATAGGTTTTCTTCTTTACCAACTATATTTGTTAACCCCAAACATGCAGGTGTTTCATCTTATTCAGCATCTCCCTTATCTTCTTCTATTAATGTAACGAAGTTTACGTACTAAACCAAATTTTCAGCCAGGTATAGTCTCACGCTTTTACACTTCTGGATCTCTCCAATTAAGCTTAAAAAGAAGTAATGTGTCTATTCTCTACTACGAATGCAGACAAGGGGAGCAAAAGTAAGACTGTTTTGCTGTCTTCAAAGAGTATTTTACCATTTTCCATAGAGTATTTTGTGAGCATGCAGAACTCCAGTATTTGTACTTGTTGGATAAAGTCTACTTTTGTCACTACAGATTGTAACCAGTAATCCCTCCTGCTTTCACACAACTTCAAACTTACTGTTAAAAAACCACAACACAGCAAAAGAAAAACCCACACAGGAAAAGGTTAGTTACAACTGGGAGTTCAGATGCTATGTACTTTTAAATGGCTACAAGCTACTTTGGTTTGGGCCTCATCTTTAGTGTTTTTGCTAAATGGTGATCAAGGAATTTTAGAGCAATTAAGTAGTAAAAATAAGTTAAAACAAACTAACTCTCATACCCAGATTGTCTTCTGCTTTACCAGCAAATGGTGAGAACTTGTTGACTGCTTATTTTATCTCTAGGCTGAAAGTTTAGCACCCTCACTAGCTTCCTGCCAAAACCCTCCTTTATCAGGGAATAATGAAATAATATTTCTTACTGTTTCTGGACTAGTACACAGTATAGCTGTCAAAGACAACACTAAGTAATTTGGTTCTTTTTAGACTTTTGGCTACAAGATGGAGCTGAAACTTAGTACAGATAACAGCTAATATCCATCTGCCTTCAGCATGCTGTTGTTATTGTGGTATTTGTACTGCTTTTCCATGTGTCTGAGAATACGTGTAACCTGAGTGTGGCAAAAAAGCACACTCTGCCCACATGGAAAGAGTAGTTTTCCCTATCAGAGTAGGTACAGTTACTTGAGCAGCTGCTTAGTCCTTCTTTTCCAAAGTAGCATCATCATTGTGTTTAGCAACAAGTTCACAGCGTACAGGGCTTATGTTAGGTATTATGTTTCTTTAGTCACTGAAAGAAAGATTCCCTTTCCCCAAGCTCCATGATGCTTATGTGAGTGGCCTCAGCAGGTGCTTCCTCCACTGCCCTGTCCTAGACTTAGGGCAAGCTAATAAAGGGATTGGCCCTAAACAGCACCCTTGCAAGTGACTGTATTCTGTAAATAAGTAGAGCTAAAAGCTGGATGTTTGCTAATGCTAACTAGAGTAGCCTTAGCAAAGCTCAATGGTTATACCTTGGACTGCTTCAGAGCTCCCTTTTTTTTTTTTTTTTTCAATTGCTCAAGAGTTTAGGGAAGCCAGAAATGCATGACAACTTTTTATTTTTGTATCAAGTGCAACATTGCAAGTAACAGATAAAACTCGGTTTACTAGTCCCGTAGTGTACAGAACTGAAAAATGCATTCTGCCATGCTGTAGGCACTGTGCGTAAGAACCTGGTCAAAACTTCAGTGCAATTGTGACTGGAAGAGCAAAGCAGTGCTATTACTGTTACATCTGTATGTATCCCAGTGTCATTAATACATTTTTGGTAAAGCAGAATGGCTACCACTCTAGTGTATGAGCAACCCCATGAATAAGATTTTACATCTAAAACAGCAAGCAAAGGAACCAATGCTAACCACCTTAATGAGGTGAGGTAACAAACCCAGTTTTAAGGAATACGTTGAGCCAATTGATCACAACAGAAGAAAATTTAAGCTGAAAATACCTGGTTTTATCTAGTAGGGAGAATTGGAAATTGGGCAGTAATAGGTGGCCCAAGGAATTCTGCTTCCTAGCTTTTGCTCATTCTTCATCTGTAGCACTGCAGAGGCCTTCAGCCAAGAAGTTTTTCATCAAGCTACTAGCAAGTGTACTGACCACCATCTACACCTTTCTAGCTGTTAGTTCTGGAACAAGTCCTTGCATCACCACTGTCTGAGACAGGCATTTCTACTGAAGGTAGGTATCGAGTTTCTTCTTAATGTTGTCAAAGGAATCCACTCCCAAATAGTCAGCTTGGCCTTGTTCCCATCGTTCCTTGCGTTCTTCTGAAGATACGGTTGGTAGTGCTGGTGATGATGCTGATATTGATATGTGGGACATTGCCTCTGAAACCTCTGCCTAAAAGGAAAGGCAGAGTAAAAATACAGAAATACTTTGCATAGCTATAGTTAGCAACAAGGCATAGAATGGGACAACGAAGTAGATGTTCTCATGCGCAGCAGCAAGCATTACCAATGAGAAGGGATTGTGCAGCTTTCCTAGCAAAATAACAAAGCAGAGTTACAGAAGTTAGCAGGGACAGGGAGGAGGGGAAAAAAAAAGAAAAGTTTAAGTTCTTCATACCTCTCTACAGAAGCCACAAGAGAAAGCCAGAGTATAGACCAAGCCCGATAGCTGCAAATAGTTTGTTAGAAAGATGTAAGATTAACAAGAGAAAGCACATCTTAAGAGATAAGTAACTTCGGTATTAGAAAGGTTGAGAACTTAAACTGGCCCATGTACTAAGCTAAGACTATAAAGTCTGCACTCAGATGTAAGCTACTAAACTCTGTGAGTGAGAACTAGAGTTAGAAGTGTTACTTTGGCTTTGGTAAGTATTGGGATTCATCACTGCCAGTCTACAGGAGTACTCATTCTGTAGTTACCCTACGCTTACCTAGATCTGTTTCACCATGCAAGATCTCTATGTACTTACTGCATGATGAACTGGGGTTCTTCTGCTCAAGAACCTTATTAGCTGCAGCACAGTAGGAGTTACAACCCTTCTCTGTACGTATTAAAGAAGTTACTACAGTTCAACTTCTGCTGCACGATTAGCTGCTTAGATAGTTTGGTTTAGGCAAGCAGACAGCTACATTCAAGACCACTAGAGCATGCTTCTCTGCTGTAGTAGTAGTTTTTTCCAAGCTTAAAAAGAACAAAACAAAAAACCCTGCGTCCCACAAACTATACCACACCCATGCTTTGAGCTGGACAGAAGGAAGGGTAATCAGTGGAATGGTAAAGACTTAGTTTCTACAAGAATATTAAGGCACGTACCATGTTTACACCTGTAATACTTTCTTTAACAATTCCATGCTGTTCTAGTAATGGTAAAACATTAGCTGTATAGGTGTCCCACCACATGTCGAGGAATTCTGGGTGAACTATTTTAGGGTCATCCATGTTGCCTTTTATGCTTTTTGTTCTGGAGTCATATGTGTAATTCCATGGTTTTGTGCTTCCCAGGAAATGCACCACTTTAGTATTTGCACCAAACCTGTTGGACAGAAAAAGTTAGAACCCACAATTTGTGGAGGTGTCTAGAAAACAAAAGTTTTGACTGGCAGTCATGAATTTTTTTTAACCTGCAGTTTCTCTAGGTGTCCAGAAAACAGAAATATGAATATATTTAGGACGCTAAACACTAAATGATCAAACTGCCAATGCCTACTGGGACTGAAAGCATTGCTATACAACAGAAAAAGTGCAAACGGAGTTCTACATTACACTAGCCAGAATACAGCCAAAACCTAATGGTCTGGGCTATGTAAGTACTTACAGCCAACTCAAGTCTTTAGGTAGAGTGGTGTCCATAGCTCAGGAGAGAGCAGTCTCAAGCAGCCGTTGCAATCGGAACTGGTTTTAAAAGTGAAAAAGATTCTACTCCAAAGTCAGTGATCCAGACAGTTAGGCATTACAAGCATTATGTAGAGAAGGGTCAGTGTTAGAGTTACCCTTTCGGTTTATAGCCCTGTAGAAAAGGATTGTTGGAAGGCACTGCTGTGGGAAGGCTGCCCCCCTGCAAAATAATAGTTCTGTATAACCTAGGCATTTCAGAGGACTTCTCATCTTGGTGCAGCAGGGTCACCAACCCCTATTTTCTAAATAACCTAAGTTTAGACATGGGTGGGGTGTCTGGTCGTTGTTTATTTCATTTATTTATTTTTAACGTTATTTTAACACCATTTTCAATATGGACTTTAAGTATTGTCCCAAATGTTACCAGTACGTTCATTTGTATTAAGCATGTAGATGAGTTGTACCCCTTTTGCAGTAAAGAACTTAACGCTAAAAGAGACAGCATCCACGCTACTCTGCTGTGGTTCCACAACTAGAGTTCAGCTTCAGTCAGTTTGGTAAACAAGCAATACCAGTCTCTCCAGTAACAGCAGCTGTCTTACCTGGTTCTTCACTTAGTAGAATTTCTTCTCAACATATGATTATAATGATAGTGATGCCAAACTAGTTTGTCTAACATTATTAAGCACACCTTGATTGTTTTGACCAGGACTCCAATGTTTAAGGAGTTTTACATATGGATACCATGCAGGTGTGTTTCAAAAATTTTAGAATATTTGAAACAAGGCAATCCGCATTTGGGTGGGGGTTTTTGTACTACTGTAAGCTCCTTGACTGTGTTTCAATATTCATGCTCAGTGTTTTGAACGCAACTGATGTTACTGCAGAAGGAAAACCTATGCATGTGAAACAAGGTCCAGTATTTGCAATAACTGGAAGTAAAAAATTTTCTGTCATCAAGAGGCCAGTTCCTGGGCTTTAACTTTCAACTCCATGTGTCATGATTTGACATAAAGAGAACTTTAGTTTTATTCACTGTCACAGCACTACTTAACAGCCTGAGTTTTCTTCATCTTAGGCTGCTGCTGTTCTGAGGAAACTTGTCCTTGTTTAAAAAATCAAGTCTATTTAAGCTAGAGAATGCCTAAGTGTTATGTTACACTTTCTGCAAATGGAGAAGTGTATTCTTAGTATTCTGTCCACTTAAGACATGTACAGCAGTTGACAGATGCCAAGCTTCTACGATGTTTTCAGTATCTGCTTTCTAGATACTTTCTAGATCTGCAGTACTTTCTTTTGACATTTAAGCTCAACTGTTAGGGAGCTTTATGTCCACACTGGCCTCAGTAACTAATCCGTCTTTCCCTATCTCCCAGAAAAGTCCTTCATCAATGTTTTGAAGTTAGAGAGCATTTGTCATGAATTGGCATTTTCCTTTGGAAAAAGGATTACTGGGACTGCTGTGAAATCTAGTCTCGCTGTACAAAGCTGCGAAAAACTTAGCTATTGATGTCAGTAGGTTTAAATTTCACTTTATTCCAACTGCTGATTACCAGGCATGTAGCTGCTGATCTAACCAGGGGAAGTTGTTCCACCTATCGAGCAGGGCATTCTGCTTCAAAAGTAGAATGGTGGAAGTGCAGCCCTTTTAACATCTGCTGATTTCAGTTAGGTAATTGATTCAATCAGTTAAATGTAATTTTTGTCAGGAACCCACAGATAAAATTAGTCTTTTGTGGCCAACAAGGTAATTTGTAAATTTAACAACCAGCCAGCCATGGAAAAAAGACATATTTTACAATCAATGTTAGCTTATCAAGTGCTGTCCAACTACTTAGTCATTCTCAGGCTTGCATATATTTCTTTAAATAAGTGTTCCACTTTTAGCATGACAGGATCTCAAATGGTATTCTGGTCATAAGACATAGTTTGATCTTGAGCCAGCAGCAGTCCTGCTTATGCTAGCTGCTGCTTCAGACACTAGTAACCTGATGTCATTCAGAGATCAGATTGTTTTTACGCAATCGGTACTTTCCTTCCCCCCTCCTCTCCCTTTGGAAGCTCTTAATGAATATGAGTTTGTGTAACATTTCAGCTTCTCTGCTTCCTCCTGTGTTTATTGTAACACTTTGAGTGACCCTGCCACTGAGTAGTGTTTACTTGCATGCCAAATCTCACACTGCTAGCTCGTGAGGATACGGTTGTTTTCCTTACACAGGAAGCTTGCGACAGTATGATGGTTGGCTGTAGACTTTGTTCCATCTTGCTATTACTTAAGGAACTGAAATCTAGAAAGACTGGTGTGAGAGAATTATAGCTTTAGACAAGTCTTTGTTCACCATATTTATTTGAATTATACAGGTTGATTAGATGAACTGTAACTACTGGTTGTTACTAAGTAATCAGAGGGCAAGTTATCTAGGTGGGAACCAATACCACCAGTGATATACTGAAGTTCAGCTAAAGCTAAGAGCTACTGTCTTTGGTTAGAGATGTAATGGACAGTAGTCCATACCGGAGTAGTGGTTCTTCCTTTTGCAAGTGACCTGTCAAATGTGCTTGTTCTAAATCAACTTTGGTGTTACCACCAGGGATGAGTGGTTTAAGCTACAGATACAGCTTTCTCTCTGCATGAATCATTAAATGATTAATTTAACTAGTATTAATTCAACTTTTTTTTTTTAAAAACAAGAAACAGTTATACCTTCTTTTAGTGACAATAATGGTTTCCCTTTAGAAAAGCTGTGTAAGTTAACAACATGCCTGTTCGTTCTGTTACCAGAAAATTAGTTTATATCAGCTCTGAAAGTCATCTTAGAATTTTGAACTTACGCTTTAAATGCTGGAAGGTAGGAATATACAGAAGTGCTGCTCAAATTATAAATAAATGGTAGATGTTTGCTCATGTCTGTTGTTGCCCAGCTGCTGAAAAAGGTGTTTAATAACCCCTGATCTGCACCTGAAAGAAAAAGCATTAATAGGCTACAAACATCAGATAGTTGTTTTAGGATCTTTTTCAATCACTTCACTAATTGGTTGATAATGCAGTTGTCATGTCCAGTAGCAGTTTGGCACAGAGCACTAGAGTTCTATTTATGAACCACCCTGTAAACCTTGCAGCCTTTGAAAATCCAAAAAATACAGAGAATGAGAGAGTACGTGTGGGGTTGCTTTTGCTACAAGGTAGCTACTCACAAAGCCTACCATTCAGGTTCTTCTACAGCTTAAGTTCAAGCTGTAGAAGGCAGCAAAAACCGGGACTTGACAAGTGAGTACTCTTCAACTTCAGGAAAGCTGTGGCTCGGAAGATCAAGTACCAACAATTAGTTTTATTACTTTTGCTTACAGATGCATGATCAACACCAGAGTTAGGGTATCAGTGGCCTGTTAGACCTGCAGCCCTGGATGTGATCAGGTTCCTGCACTGTGATCTGATCAGGAAAGCACATTCAGTCTTGGTGACTACTCTAATAAAACTTCATCAAATCCCTTACTGAGCTAGGAATGCCCATTGCCGGTTATTTAAAAGCTGCTGACTAACCCCTAAGTGAGGGTAACAATCTGAGTTACAGCCAGAGCTGCTCTCTTGGGAGGTGTCACCTCTTAGTTTGCAAGCAGAGGTTGTAACGAGTTTAAATGAGTCTGAAGTGGTTTGGTATGTCAGTAATGGAGTAGCTAAACAAACCAGCCTCTGGCCCAAAGCAGACTAGTTTGTAAGAGTCTACTGAGAAGTAAAAACTACTTCTATTCATATCCATTTATTCTTTATTGCAGTGAATATAGTTAGTCTTTAAGTGCTAATAGTTCCTCTTATGAAAGGGATTGAAGGGAGTCCCTCAACATTAATTTGCTGTCTTCTCTCCACCTGCAACTGTATTCACAAGTAGCATTGATAAGGAGTAGGTAAATAGATAGCCTAGTTAGAAAAGAGGCAGTATTTTATTTTAATCTTTAGTCTTCTGAAGCATTCAATCTCTGACTCAGTTTTTCTTATTGACCTGTTATTAGATTTAGGGCAGTACTAAGGCTTACACCCTCACTGATGTTTGAGCAGAATTTGCTTTTTGCTTTAGACACTGGGCATAAACTTAGATGTACGGACAGTCCACTGACAAATATAAATTTGAAGTATCCTGTTACAGCTGTCAGCGCACACGCAGATTGAAGAGGTAGAAATTGCCTAGAGATCCAGTCCAGTAACTTCAAGCCTCTCACTCCATAAAGGGAGGAAAGCACTTTTGAAGAAGTTGTACCCATCACAAGAGAACAAGAGTCGAAGAAACCAGGCAAGTCCCCAGGTCTTTACTCAGTGAAGTTTCATTGTAACTTCTAACTTAATGCTGTGTTAAGAATGTGTATGGGAACAGTAAGATCATCTAAGAGAGGGAAGTCTAGGATGGCCTCTCAGAATGGACAGCTCGTAACTGAAAGCACAGCAACTTTCTCCCACTCAGATTGTTTTACATACTTGGCTTTTTTTTCAGATGGCACGCGTTTGTGCCAAAGCAGCCACTGAAAGCAGCATTTAGCTGTCCTAGTTCCGACTTCAACAGTAGTCCTGTTGTATAAACTGGACCTTAGACATAAGGCAAAACAATCAGGCAGTAGTTACGTTAGTGACGTATATACAGATACAGTTTTGCTGCATTATATCTTTAGATGTAAAAGCAACCGTTTTCAATCCCATACTAAAGAGCCAGAGGATTGTTGAAGCAATACGAATGTTCTTAAGGTATCAGTACTACTAGATTTCTTTTAAAACAAAACTTTTCTCCCTCTCCACTACTTTTAGATGGCATCTAGAATTACTGCATGACATATTCCTCATTATCTAGAAAGGTGAAGTTCAGATAAAGTAGTTGTCTCTGTAAGTAGCCATTGCTCTACCATTTCTGGACAACAGCATTACATAAGAGGCATCCCTCTGCTGTTATAAAGATTAAATACTCTGGAAAGTCTTGGATTCCCTTGTTACTGCTACTGCAGATGGGGTACTTAGAGCCTGACTTCAGTTATGCATAGCTTGGTACCTTGTTGAGTTTGCATCCCAGTGTTCCTCATAAAAAGTTTCCTAGGAACTTTTATTACTGTCTAGATCAAATTCACTTTAAATCCACTTTCTCCTGACAGTTCATAAGCTCAGCAGCAGCTTATGCAGACAATATAAGTCCCCATGGTCTCATTACTCAGATCAGTCCTACCATTTATAAAAACCTGAATAAATTTTAAAGCTGAAGTACAAATGAGTTCTAGAAATTTGGTACCTAAACCATTAAGCGACCACTTTTGCTATTAAGAGCTGCAACAATTGCTTCATGTTTAGGACATTGAGGAAGTTTCACCATTGTGTGGCTTTAGCTTTCAAGTCAGAAGGTATATTGTGGACACAGTTCTATTCTTTTAAAGGACAGGGGCCTTAGACCTAGAAGATGGGTCTGCTAGGAGTCAGCACAAAGCTCAGAGGAGACAATCACCAAGTCTCAGATATTTCTGGAGCTACTTAGTGGTCAGTTTGCAAAAGAAAAAAAAAACTATGTTTTTTTTGGGGTGGGTTTTTTTTTTTAAATGCAACAATTCAGTACTGTGCTATAGCTTTTAACTGTAGCTGTTAATCAATTTACACCCAACATTTAAGAATTCTGCTAGAGCTACCAACTGCTGCCTTGGCACTAGTGAGGTACAGACAGTCCCTTCATTACACCGCAGTACTTATTTTCACTGGAGTTTATTCATATGGTAGCATTAAGCATCTTATTGCAACTAATGTTTTTTAGGAGGCCACACACAGGAGTCCACACAGTAACGGGGATTATTCTGCAGACTGGGAGTGACATCTGGAAAATTTACTTTTTACAAAGTACTGAAAGGTAAGTCAACAGGCTGGCTAATTTCTTTCTAGTAAGAGCTCCCTTTTATGGTCTTATTTATGTAGTTATTTGTAGCTTTTTCAGTTAGAATTTGTTTTGTACCACAGTAGTTACATAACTAATTTTAGCAACAAGAGACAGCGATAGTCATTCAGAAGCCTTTACTTTTAGCAGTCTTCAAGCACCATGTGCATTTACTGCAATGGTAGTAGATTTAGGAAACATACAGGACAGCGGAATTTGGCTTCTCAAGCTTAAGTCTGTTTCAGTGGCTGATCCCAAGTGACCTGTAGTGGGAAGCAGCCAGGGCTACACGCACTTGATATTGGGAAAGAGATGGTCACCACCCTATAATGACAGGAAGCTGTCACACAGCATGTGAAGAGAGAGTTCCATCTTCAAATGTTTCTCTGAAGCAGGACTCAAGTTGGTCAGTACTATTTTTTCCACAGCAACTAGAGTTAGCATAGAACATTCAAGCTCTGAGTGTTAGGAATGCATGAAACATAGTACTGCAGTTTCAGTTGCTAATACACACACTGTGCTTGCTTAAGATTTCTTGGTACATGATTCTACATTGCTAATACTTACACCTGCTAGTTTGGAGGCCAAACTTAGGGGGTTTTTTTGTTTCATGAAGTCTGAAAAAAGTAGTTTTACTACATATTGTAATGATGCCTCTGTTGCAAGAGGGATATACTTTTTTGTAGTTAACACATTGAGTTCAGAGTTTATCATACAGAATCCCCATGACACACATGTAGTTACTGAGCCATCCCAACCACTATTACCATTTTGGTCTAACATATTGAAATACAAATTAAAACATACCATCAAAGCTGCCATTCTCTGTGGCAAACTGTAACAGCTGATTGTATGTTTCAATAGAAGGTCGGTAAACAAAAACTCCAGAATTAAAACAGTCAGGCCAGCCTGGATCTGGTGCTGCAGAAAGCTCTTCTCTCTCAAAAAGCTCATCAATATTTGACAAAACCTAGTCATAAAAGGGTAAAAAAGAAAAGATTTCTGTTTTTAGCTTAGGAATTGGGGTATTGCGTTTTAATGGATTTTGACATCCACATTAATACATAAAAGAAAGTTCTCATATCAATGTTCTTGTCTTATGGAAGATGACACTTTATGGAGTTGGACTTGGACACCACCAACTACGTTACAATTAATTTATATGAGAAAGGCACATACGTTTTTAGAGTTACTAGTCCAAGTAGCAAGAAGACATCTATTACCCCTCCCTTAAAAAAAACCAGCCAAACACCACCAACCCCTACAAAAAACCCAAACAACAAAAACAGCCTGCAGAAAAAAATCCCAGCAACCCCCATACCAGGTCATGAAGAGGTACTGTGAGACACAACCACTTACCATTGTGTCTGCATCCATGAAAACGCATTTTGAAAACTGTGTCAGTTCCCAGCAGTGAAGCTTTGTTAGTGTGACACCCAGCTCAGGCCTTTTCATTAACGCCAAGTGTGCCGAGTCCCCACTATCCAAGACATTCACCAATACGACTTCATCAAAAACTGTTTCCAGCACTCTCCTGGGGAAAGAGTCAATTGCCAAGATTTAGCTCTATTGTTATTCCTGCACCAGACCACGTGACAGGTTCCATAAAGTGGAATAACAGGGAATCTGGCAGCATTTCTTAAGTCATCAGTAAGAGCTGACTGCATGTGTTGGAAATTACAGCTGTCTGTCTCAAGGTTTCTAGGTTATAACAGGCACATTTTAGGGAACAAAGATGTTTGGGGTGTTTTCTTCCACAAACAGGACTTTAGTTGGTGTTGCTACCAAGTCCAGTAGGTCATGGCTATGTAGTACAAACTTTCCACACATTTTTATTTCGCCCAGACTTTTGGCAAGTTAACAGTCTACTTTAACAGCTTCCCATTTCTTAATTGCCTGCTCAGAGTAGCTTGAGCAGGACAATAGCTGAATCCTAAACAGCTGAAAAAGAAGTTTATGCAATAGTTATGACAACACTGTTCTGGATCTGTGACTGTTAGGGACATCTGACTAGACCCAGTTGCTAAAACTTTCCTTGCGCCATAAAGTTTCAAAGGCTGACTTAATCATGGCTGTGGGCACAACAGTGTTTTGACCTAGTATCATGTTCACCTAAGGGTAACACCTAAACTTTCAGGCAGTGTGGTGAAATTCTGTGGCAGATATCTGGCCTTTGCATTGGATGGTAAAGCATTACTATTAGTTCAAGAGAGGTTAAGGAGTTCACGATGCTTAAAATATGAAACACTGTAGAACAGTGAGGCTTTACAGATGCATCTTGAATGCTCAGCAATTATCACTACAGTTTGAGCCACAGAGCTTGTGGGTGAGTTTTAGAACTGCCTTACAAGTCTGTCTTTATACCAACAGCTTGGTATGGACAGTGGCTTCTGAACTTAAGGCATACCTTGTTAGTGGCTACAGTGAGAAATCCAAGTTCCAGTTACACCATGAGGTAGGTAAGGTATTCCTGGCCTAAGGGCATAGCAGTAGCTGGCTTGCACTACACATAAGCACATTTATGATTCATCTTAGCCCACTCACCTAATAGGCTAGAATGGATGTTCCTATATGTAACATCTTTATATTGATAAAGCCGTTGAGCTGCCAAGAGACTCCAAGGAGAGTCACTCCATTTATTATTGAGCCACTTCTCTAGTGTCTCTATAAATTGAGAGGTTTTTTCAGAAGAGCTTCCCCACATAGAGAATCTTGACCTATCATCTGTAGTTCATGTAGCTATTAAGTTAATTGGTTTTTTTTACCCTCCTCTTACATGTGGAAAGAGCACCCAGTCTGCTCCATACTGAGTCTATTCTAGAGAGGCTGTAGGAAGCAGTTGCCTGTTAATTTCATTTGTTGTAGGTGGTGACTTCCTTAGATGCCTTTGTTGATCTGCTGATTTGAAGTACTTGGTGCTACTTTAGGTCTACTCATTTTCTTCTCTCATGATAAAATTTGAAGTGTCTGCTAGATTTTGAAAGAGCTTATGTCACATTATCTCAATCTGGAATACAAATAAATACCAATCCCATAGTCCCACCTCCACATGCACACACACAGCACTAATGAACACATAGGCAGTATCAAATTGTTGGACTGTTTTAAGCAGGACTATGAAAGAGCAAAGACCCACTTGAAATATCAGTATCAAGTCACAGTTTAATTCTCTAACTACAGAGTATTTGTTAACTTATCATATGGAAGAAACAAAAAAAGTTTCATGTTTGAAGAACTTAGCAGAATTCAACTTACACCATCTGGAATTCTGTAAGCTTCGTTTACAGAGTTTTGGATGGTTACTATTAAATGAATTGAACTTTTGTTTTTCAACCTTCATATCAGCAGGAACTACAGCAGTTTGAGGTATATAAATGACCTTACCTCATAGGATCTGAGACCTGAGGAGTTATGAGCGCAGTCAGCTTCCTTGTTGTTCTGTACTGTTGCAAGGATGAGCCAAGTACCAGTGCTCCTTTCACATAGGAGTCATTTGTGGCTAGAGTCACAAAAGACTGGTCTGGAAGAAATGAACTTGGTCAAGTTAACACAATCCACTACTTTATTCTGAGAGATACACTAGAAACCTAGTATTGTAATCATGCTGTGAGACCTCCAAGATGTGCTGTATAACTCTGCATATTGAGCCTACTTACATGGCTGAAAGAAGCAGATTATACTCACCTAGGTATATTTGCCAGTAATAACATGGCAAAATGCAGTAAAGAAACAATCAAAACCAAGACTGTTGCAAGAAAACAAAAGTTCCAGTTTGCCCACATGTTAAATAAGCCATGCTAAATGTTCCAAAAGAGCCTTATTTTGGCCATGAGTGTACTGTTTTAAAACTGAAAGCACTGGGAGTCTGTGAGCTTGCATTCGGTCTAAAGTTAGTAACAGTAGAGTTTTGTGGAGTAAAGGTTCAGCTCTCAACCCTGAAGCTGGAGCAGCATGAAACTTTCATTTCAAGTGAAAGTAAGCATTGAATTAGATCTTGGACAGCAGTATTAAGTTGTGCTAGCTCAGGATTTTGCAGATGAGTTGTTCTGCAATCCACAGCTGCAGCTTTATCACAGGAATGCAAGATTTAAGTGGGAAGTAACCAGTAATATGATAAGGAATTTAAGACTTGCAGCAACAGTTTTTGTTCAACAAGCAAAAAGAGGAAAGGTTGGATTGTTAGTATAAAATATAGTCTTCTACTCCAGCTTCTCTTAAAAACAGATCAAGACGGATCACTTTGCCATATACTGCTTATTGAGGCCTGTAATACAAGCTTTGCATTCTTTCAGTTGTCATGTTGTTTTAAACTGCCAGGGTGGGACTGACAAAAGCAAACACGTAATTTCTAAGCTTCTTCAGTTCACTGTTAACTATCACCATGTAGTACTCTTTTCCACCAAACCATTTTTGACACCAACAAAATGCTTTCTCCCTAAGAATTTCAAGAGTAGATTTCACATTGAAATTTAATTTCGCAACTGAGATTTCTTTTCTCTACAGAAGTTAACTAGGTTAGATGAGATTTAAGTGAGGGTTCTGGGCACTTAAAGGCTTATTATCAAGTCTAGCACCAAGATTAAAATACTGACTGCTCTACTTTCAGAGAGATTGTTGTTTGGTACAACTCCTCAGCCCATGAATCAGTCATCACCAATACCTTTTTAATGTAATACTATTTTAACAGTTGATGAGAGAAAACCATATACCATAGTTGTCTGTAAGCTCTGCAAACCTGGTTTGCAAGCTCTACAGAGCAGCTACAAAACCTTCTATCTTGCTTAGCAGCAAAACCAACTAGTCCCAAAGGATTTAGATTGTAGCCATCAATTACGTAGTTCAAAAAAGCTTCTACATGCCAGAAATAAAGATTTTGCATTTTATTTTTCCAATTCACTTTAGCTACCAATTTGTAATAGCTCATATAAATTCAGCAGATCTACAGAATAATTTGTGTTTCTTTGAAGCTTTACAAATGGCAAGTGTGTAGCATTTCAAGTGGTGTGAACATCTTAATAGGGCAGCATTTTTCATGACTTAATTTGCATGTTACTCCTCAACTACTCAATAAATAGAAGTCTGCCACTCTCTGCTGACAGACAGCTCACTAGAAATCCAGTGTAGACAAAGTGGGATTGTGCAGCATTCATCAGAATGTTGGTGTAGTGATTTTTTTTTTTTTCCACAGCAGTGTAAGACTAACTCTTAAAGTGACCTTGCCACTGAAAGACTAGTCTTTTTCATTGACTTGTTACCAGATATACTTCTACCATGTCTCCTCCTCTTACTGAAACTGAGTATTGACCCACAGAGATCTTAGAGAAATAAACTCAATTTAATGATAGAGTAAAGGCTAAGCAGCCCCCTGTTTCCCTGCAGGAAACTTTATGACTGCTTGAGAGGAGGAGGATACTGGTAGCTTGTAGAACATCCAAGTACACCTTCCCAAAGTTTTGAATAAACTACTTTTTATTTCATTCTTTCTCCAAAGTAAATTCAGACATGTTACAGAATCACAGGATCGTCTAGGTTGGCTCATTGAGTCTAACCATGAACTTAACACTGCCAAAACCACCATTAAACCATGTCCCTCAGCACCACATCTACATGTCTTTTAAGTACCTCCAGGGATGGTGACTCCCCCACTTCCCTGGGCAGCCCGTTCCAATGTTTGACAACTGTTTTCAGTGAAGAAATTTTTCCTAATATCCAGTCTAAACCCCCCCTGGTGCAACTTGAGGCCAGTTCCTCTTGTCCTATTGTCTGTGACTTGGGAGAAGAGACCGACCCCCACCCCTCTACAACCTCCTTTCAGGTAGTTTCAGCTTCCTTTTCTCCAGTTCCCCAATTCCCTCAGCTGCTCTTCATAAGACTTGTTCTCCAGACCCCTCACTATCTTCATTGTCCTTCTCTGGACATGCTCCAGCATCTCAATGTCTTTTTTGCAGTGAGGTGCCCAAAACTGAACGTGGCACTCGAGGTGGGGCCTCACCAGTGCTGAGGACAGTGGGACAACCTGTACGAGTCCATGCTACCAGTTGCTGCTTAAGGTGTAAGTTACATCTGCAAGAGACTAGTCCGTTCTACCTAAACCACAGGTATTCTGGTTGTGTGGGTCTCCCTTCCCATCCCCTGTAAACACTTCCTCCACAGTAGGTGATGGTCACAGAGCAGCTGAAACATACTTAACTATTAAAAATAGCGTGGCTGCAAAACTACAGAGAATGTGAGACAGTCACACAGCTTCAAAATTGATTCATCCAGGCAAAACCAAGCTGCTTCAGAGACATCTTTGGCTGCCCCATTCCCAGGCCGCCCTGCCCGCACGCTGGCCCTCGCACACCCCAGCGCCGGCTGGAAGCCTGAATCAGGAGCAGCCTTTCATTTCACAGCGTGCGGGGAACAGGAGCCCCTGCCCCGGGTGTTTCAGAGCTTCTCCCCGGCAGCGCTTCACAGGCACAGCCCGGCTTCGCAGCTGCTCCCCGCGCTTCGGGAGGAACAGGTCACCCCACGGTTACGGTGCGGGATTCCTAGCGGGACGGAGCACCGGGCTCCGCCGCCTCACGGACCGGGAAGTGAAGCCGGCCCCGCTGACAGCTCCAGGGAAGCAAACCCGGAGGGCGAACCGCCAGGCGGCCCCGGGGACGCGCTCATCGCGGAGGCCGGGCTCTCCCGTTAGCGCTTCGCGAAAGGGACAGACTTTCTCCTGCGAGCGCCGCGGCCCCGCAGCGGCCTCCCGGGGGCCTTCCTATTCCCCGTCGAGGACGTAGCCCCCGGTCGAGAACCGAGGCGGGCGGCCCGGAGCAGGCCTGAACCGTGACCGACCCCCC